ATACAAAAAACTAGCCGGGCGAGGTGGCAGGAGCCTGTAGTCCCAGCTACTCGGGAGGCTGAGGCAGGAGAATGGTGTAAACCCGGGAGGCGGAGCTTGCAGTGAGCTGCGATCTGGCCACTGCACTCCAGCCTGGGCGACAGTGCCAGACTTCGTCTCAAAGAAAAGAAAAGAAAAAAAACCCTAAAACTAAAAACTATATATGTGTGTGTGTGTGTGTGTGTGTGTGTGTTTTGGCAATAATGCTTGCCATGGTTTGGATGTTTAGCTCCCCCAAATCACATGTTGAAATGTAATCCCCAGCGCTGGAGATGGGGCCTGGTGGGAGATGTTTGGGTCATGGGGGTGGATCCCTCATGAATGGCTTGGTGCCATCCCCAGGATAATGAGTGAGTTCTCTCTGTATGAGTTCATACAAGAGCTGCTCTTGTAGTTGAAAGAGCCTAACTCATCCTTCTCTCTCTCGCTCCCTCTCTCACCATGTGATACATTAGCTCCACTTCACCTTCGGCCACCACTGGAAGCTTCCTGAGGCCTCACCAGAAGCACATGCTGACACTATGCTTTATGTACTTCCTGCAGAACCATAAGCCAAAATAAAACCTTTTTTCTTAATAAATTAACCAGCCTCAGGCATTCCTTTATAGCAACGCAAAAATTGACTAACATAATGGTCATTGCAGCATTGCTTTGTAATAACAAAAAGTAGAAACAAATGCAATGTCCTTTATCAGAGGAATTATGAAATAAATCATTGTGTCCTATTCATTCCATAGGAACTGTACAGCTATAAAGAACGAAGTATGACTATTCAGGTGGTTCTAGGTAAAAAACATACAACAACAAAAAAAAAGAATGAAGTTGGCTGGGCACAGAGACTCAACGCCTGTAATCCCAGCGCTTTGGGAGCCCAAGGCAGGAAGATCACGAGTCCAGAAGTTTGAGACCAGCCTAGGCAATGTAGCAAGACCCCACCTCTTTAAAAAAAGTTTTTTATTTTATTTTATTTTATTTTAATTAGCTGGGTGTGGTGATGTGCCTCTGTAGTCCTAGCTACTTGGGAGGTTGAGGTGGGAAGATTCCTTGAGCCCAAGAGTTCGAGGTTATAGTAAATCATGATCACACTGCTGCACTGCAGCCTGGGCAACAGAGCAAGACTATGTCCCTAAAAAAAAAGAAACAAACTGTGTATAGTGACATGGAAAATTGCCCATATCTCCTAACATTACCAGAGTATATTTAAGACAAAAAAGATGTAAGTATATGCACACAAAATGTTAAGAATACATTATAAATTTTAATAACTGTAAGATGCTTAGAAACATGTCTTACACATGGTAACTACTCAATAAATGTTAGCCATTGTTAACAGTAACAGTGATTATTACTGGGAAATGGGTTTGTATAAATTATGCAAGAGAAAGGGATTCATACTTTTTACCTTTCTATATTGTTCAAAATTTTTAAACAATTTATATGATAATTATTTGATAATTTGTAATCGTAAGTTTTTTAAAGGAGCAGGGGCTGATTTTCAGAAGGGCCCGAGGGGCGGCTGTGGGAATCGCACCCCACCATCTGCAGTTCTGACACTGAGGCCTGTTCCTGTTGCCTCCAGGGAACTTAATTTTTTTGTCCATCATAACACGCAACAATATGAATGAATCCCACAAACACTAATCCGAGCAGAAAGCCAAACAGAACGTCTATGTCATTTCTTTCATCTAAAGCTCAAAAGCAGACAAAACCAACTTACTGTGACAAGAATCTTGGAACAATTTGCTTTTGTGTAGAGCAGTCCCAGGTCTGGCCCTTCTTGAAGTAATTCTTCATCTAAAGGAGTTCGAAGGAATTCATTTGCTCCAGGGGCCAGGAGACAGCTTAATTTCTGCACCAAGGTTAGTGCCAAGAAAAAGGGAAGACCCCCTCCTCCCCCAAAAGAAGAAAAGGTTGGCTTGGGGACAGGCTGTTAACCGTCACCTTCACAAAGCCAGAAGCCGGGTCTTCTGAAGCTCAAGAGTGAAGGTAGAACTAGGGGCAGGGGAAGAGAGAATAATGCCTGCAACATCAGCTGTGACTGTTTCCTAGGTGACAAAGATCGTCTCCTCAACCAAGCCCTAACCAGGTGACAAAGATCCTCTCCTCCAACAAACTCTAGCCAGGTGACAAAGATCATCTCCTCGACCAGGCTCTAGCCAGGTGACAAAAATCCTCTTGTGTCTGGAATTGATTCCTTCCAGCAGGTTCTTGGTCTCACTGACTTCAAGAATGAAGCTGCAGACCCTCGCGGTGAGAAAGTTCTTACAGATGGTGTGTCTGGGGTTTGTTCCTTCAGATGTTCAGATGTGTCTGGAGTTTCTTCCTTCTGGTGGGTTCGTGGTCTTGCTGACTTCAGGAGTGAAGCCGCAGACCTTCACAGTGAGTGTTGCACCTCTTAAAGGTGGCGCATCCAGAGTTACTCACTCCTGGTGGGTTCGTGGTCTCGCTGGCTTCAGGTGTGAAGTTGCAGACCTTCATGGTGAGTGTTACAGCTCATAAAGGTAGTGCACACCCAATGAGTGAGCAGCACCAAGATTCACTGTGAAGATCAAAAGAACAAAGATTCCACAGCATGGAAGATGACCCAAGCAGGTTGCTGGGGCTGGCTTGGGTGGCCAGCTTTTAGTCCCTTATTTGGCCCCGCCCACATCCTGCTGATTGGTCCATTTTACAGAGCTCTGATTAGTCCATTTTACAGAGTGCTGATTGGTCCATTTTACAGAGCACTGATTGGTCCGTTTTTACAGAGTGCTGATTGGTGCATTTACAAACCTTTAGCTAGACACAGAGTGCTGATTGGTGCATTTTTACAGAGTGCTTATTGGTGTGTTTACAAACCTTTAGCTAGACACAGAGCACTGATTGGTACATTTACAATCCTTTAGCTAGAGAGAAAAGTTCTCCAAGTCCCCAACCGATTAGTTAGACACAGAGTGCTGATTGGTGCATTTACAAACCTTATCTAGACACAGAGCACTGATTGGTGCATTTACAATCCTTTAGCTAAACAGAAAAATTCTCCAAGTCCCCACCCTACCCAGAAGCCCAGCCGGCTTCACCTGTCACTCTCCTCAACCAAGCTCTAGTCAGGTGACAAAGATCCTCTCCACAACCTCTCCTCTGAGCCCGGTTATGCATGAGTCTCATCCTTGGCCTGTAAAGACTTGAACAAACAGTAATGCAGTTTCTAACAGCTCAAGGCCCCTTTGCCAGCATGACCCTACCCCTATTCTTCACATAGCTGCCTGAGAGAAAGCTCAAGCCTGCCCCAAGAATTTGCTGCTTGTTCTAGCCAACACCTGAAGACAGAGTCTCTGTTGCCCAGCCTCTGTGGGG